ATTTATTAATCCATTCATGGGTTGATGGGCACTTGGACTTCTTCCATGACTTGGCAATTATGAATTAGGCTGCAATAAACATTCTAGAGCAAATATCTTTGTTGTAAAGTGATTTTTTTGTCTTCTGGATATATACCTAGCGGAGGAATTGCAGGATCGAATGGCAGGTCTATGTTTAGACTGCTAAGTGAACTCCAAACTTCTTTCCAAAAGGAATGTATTAGTTTGCATTCCCACCAGCAGTGCAGAAGTGTTCCCTTTTCTCTGCATCCACACCAACATCTGTAGTTTTCGGATTTTGTTATGTGGGCTACTCTTACTGGAGTTAGATGATATCTCAAGGTGGTTTTGATTTGCATTTCTCTGATGATTAAGGATGAAGAGCATTTTTCCATGTGTCTGTAAGCCATGCACCTGTGTTCTTCAGAGAAGTTTCTATTCAAATCTCTTGCCCACAATGAGATGGGATCACTTGTTCTTTTATTTTTAATACATTTGTGTTCTCTGTGGATTCTGGTTATCAAGCCTTTAAGGCTATGAGCCCTGGGGGACTCCATCATGATGGATCACCTGGGGATTCCTGGTGTTACACCACCTATATTTTTTCTGTTTATTCTTTTATTTGTGATTCACTTTGCTTCATTTTAATAGTTCAAAAAAATTGGCAGCAATTGAAAAACTCAGAATAGTTACACACAAAGTAAAAATAGCTTTTATTTTGTTAAACCATTTGAAAATAAATTGCAAACTTGATGCCCCATCACCCTGGAAGAACTAGGTGCGTATTTCCTACAACTGGAACATTCTCCTATTTAACTACAACATGGCTGTCCATTTTCAGAAGTTCACACAGACACCTCTAATCACTAGACCCGATGCAAGGGGTGCCAGTTGTCCATAATGCTTGTAAGGGCGGAGGTTCTAGTTCAGGATCACCTGGTGCACTTAGTTGTGGTGTCCCCTGAATCTCCTTCATCCTGGATCACTTCTCAGGGTGTCCTTCACCTCTGCAAATCTTGGCCCTTCAAAGATTACAGGTCAGGGATTCCGTAGTGAGCCCTTAATCTAGGTTTCTCTATTTCTTCACAACAGCCTAGACCATGTTGTTCTGAGTCCTCCCCGTGCCATCCTGCCAGGTTGTGAGGGCTACAGATGGTCCCGTCACTCGCATGTGGATGTCAGTTGCCCCTAGAGGTCATCTGCTGGGGCTCGGCCCTGCAGAGCCCCTCAGTCTCCCTTTGAAATCTGGGGGGAGGATGCAGATGCTCCGGTCCTAACCAAACCTTTGGGCAGCTTTTATAATAATATCACTATAGATTCTTGGTTTGCTATTAATATTTTATTCCAAGGGGTTACAATCCATTAGTGCAATTATGTGGGTGCTCAAATACACCTTGATTTGGTCAGTGTGGCTTATTTCAGCAGGATCTGTGTCCTAATGACATCTCATCTTTTTCTAGGGCATCTCCTTGCTTCCTGGTACAAGAAGATGGTCCAAATTCACACTCACATTTGCATCTTTATTTTCATCTCTTTTTCTTTCTCTACATCTATTATCTATCTATCTATCTATGTGTCTGTCTCTCT